CAACGTTGGCTACCTAGTATTCACACTGGGTGAACCAAACAAAACAGCCAAACCAACACTTGAACATTTTGTATAAACTCATTTACTAAACTGCCCCCAGAAATGATTTTTGTTGGCCTCGGAAAGGGGTCTCCCCACAAATGGCTTACATCCTTCAAGATAAGCTACAATGAGGAAATGTCACCCCGTGTTCTATGTAACGGCTGTGTGTGATTCTGTCGTTACGGTAATGATACAGTATTGGCTGCCCTTCTTACAGTACAGCACTTGTCGTCCAAAGTTGGCTACCTAGTATTCACACTGGGTGAACCAAAACAGCCAAACCAACACTTGAACATTTTGTATAACATCTTTTATTAAACTTCCACCAGAAATGACATTTTTTGGCCTCGGAAAGGGGTCCCCACACAAATGGCTTCCATCCTTCAAGATACAGTACAGTGAGCTGCACTGAGGTAGAGAAATGTCACAGGTATAATACCTGTTCTCCTCCTTTTTGAAGGGAGGGAGGATGTGTGGACCAAGGGAAGCAAGCCTAACATAAAACTTGCTTGGACAGAGGGGCCTGAGACTAACATAGAATTCTCCATCTTGGAGGAGACATTTTGGACTCCTGTTCTAGGTTAGGCTACTTGGGGGCTTGGCCGCGTTCCGTGTTAATATACTTTGTTTTTTGGTTTTTGAGCTATGTTATTTTGCTAAAGTTTACCCCTTTTTGCTAGTGTCACTGGGGAGTTTCTGAAGGTTGCATATCGTGTTGCATCTTGCGGCTCTTGCAAAACGCTTGGACCCTGCTGAGAGGGGCCCTGGGTTGGAGGCGTTCAGCATGCGGTTTGCGGAGCACGAATCCTCCAGGTTGAACGACCAAAACGAAAAGCTTTGCGCACAGGAGGGGACGTCCTGATCAATCTTGCTTTGGATGTCCAGGAGGTTGTGGAGAGCATCAACATTTGTTGGAGAACCACGAACCAGCCAATATGATGTAAGTGAAGTGTGCAATCTGATCTAATTACTGGTGGTGGCCTGCTGGTGCTCCCCAAGTGAACTATGTAATTGATCAGTAAGAAAGAAACAACTTCCCAGACTTTCTCCCTACCTTCAAGTGGAACATGGAAATTCCAATCAAGCAAAATTGATACAGCAGCTGACTATCCATATCCTATGCATTGTATATTTACATACTGTAATACAAGTTGTGATACACTATATATATATATATATATGCACATACTCCATTATACTCAAAATTAAAACACACACTCTACATATATCTATATATCAACCATTTTACCTTGTCCTTCTAAGTCGATGTCCGAAGCCATTGACCCTCCACGCGGCCCTTCCTTCCTCCCCCGGGAGCCCAGGTCCGAACCTTCGACCCTCCACCGGCAAGCGGAAGCCGCCCGGGGCGCAGCCGGATGGTCAGCCGCGAAGAGAAGGGGTGAAGCCGGTCTAACACGAGAATGGTGTGAAGAGAATGGTGGACTTGGAGATCTTGTTTTACTTAACTTGGCATCCATCAACAGCCAAGTTCGGCACAATTTGGGCAGACATTTGGAAGAAGTTGTCTCAGTTTGACATAGTTTGACCACAACACCTGTTTATTTTGTGCTTTATCTTGGGGAGACCTTGCGGAGCGGTCAGTTTGGTGAGTTGTTTCAGTGAAACGTGTTGGTGACCATTCTACATTCTACATCCACGACCATGGATATTGGATATCCGTGGCATGGGCTTGTTTGGAGTGAATTGCGGAAGCGTTAAAGGTACATTCCCCAGTCTCCGGCATTGGCGTTGTTGCTCCCTCTGGCCATCGAAATAGAATATTACTCGGGGAAATCACCCCAACTCTTCCAGCGACGGAAAAGCAAAGAAACACACACCGGGGCTCGGTGTTTCGGGGAAGATCCTGGTTTCACTGACTCAGGGTGTTTTGGTTTGAACCGCGCAGCCACGAAGCACGTGAGGTTTGGTGCAGTGCACTGCTGCCTGGCCAACAGGACTGCATCAGTTGGTGCTCACAGCAGAGGTTGGTTTTGCAGGTCTCTAAGGTCTCAAATCATACGTTTGGGCTTCCTGAGCCTGACCGTCGTTCAGTGGTTCCTCTCTTCCTTTCTTTGGGATCTCTTTGGGGTCTCAGTAGCCCGGCTGTAGAAGAAATCAAGTTTGCGATGTCCAAGGGGTGTTTGATGACGTGTCGTTTGCGATTCCCCCCTTCGGGTTGCATATGATGCTTGCATCATCTTGCATCCCTGCGCGGTCAGCGTTTGGCCGGCAGGTGCTGCCGGCCGAACATGCGGCCGAGCACCCAGCGAGCTGAGCTGCGATTTGCCCATTCGGCCAGAGTGGAGCGGCATTGCAGCATGCTCTCGCATTCTTGAAGCATGTCGGGTGGGTTACAGTACTGCATGGGCCGCATGGGCTGCCGATTCCTTTCCAAAAGAACCCTTTTCAAATTCTTCAGAGTCCGACCATTGCATGGTAAACCAAGCATCTTCTATTCTGAGAGGTGTGGCACAAAGAAAGCCCCAAGAACAAGGCCGTGCTGGCTTTCAAGTGTCTTCCACAACCTTAAGAGGTTTCATTTTGCACCCGCATTTGATTTGGAGAGGGTTCCACCCTTGACACCCAGCATATGATCCACGATCCCGAAAGATAGATGAAGACACCGTCTTTCAGAGCCTCCCTCAGACATGGAGACTCACCGAACCACCAAGGCCACCCCAGGGCCACCGAACCACGGCCACTCCAGCACCGCCCAAGGCCTATGCGCTGGAGGGCTTAGCGGAGCAGTTCGGGATGAAGTTGGAGCTTGAGGTCCCTCCGCGAAGCCTTGCGATGAGAGGTCAGAGGGTTGGATGGATTGAGTTAGATAGAAACAGAGCAGCTTCATCCGGTAGATTGGACGGAATTGGACGGAATTCTTGCAACAGCTACTTAAATTGGACACATTCCACCGCAGATGCTCAAATGTCAGTTAGAGTTAGAGTTATGATTTTTTTTTCTAGACGTGCCACCACGTCATCAGGAATGGAAAAGGGCCCAGTGTTATAGCAGTGGGCCACACTCGTACCTATCACTATATGCAAGCACCCACCTTGAGGTCTCCCACACACAGACAATCGGACTGTTTAGTTTCATGATTCAGCTCGGTGGGACGATGCTTCTGTGATATGTTTGATGTATACTTGCGTGCCGCTGCACAGCGAATTCAATTCACAGGATCTCAGACCATGAGCCGTTCACGGCGTTTTTTCGAGCCAAATGCATGGAAACAAGACAACAACAGCTGAGCGAGCAAGCCAACAAGAAATCTACAGGGCCGACGCCCGGCACTGTCCGACCCAGCGAACGATGCTTCAACATCTGCCATCATATGGCAAGCCATGACCAGCTCCATCACGAGAGTCTCCCTAGTCATTCCCCATGGGTCACATCAGGCGTACATGTCCTCCAACATCCTCCAACCATCTCCAACCAACCCATCATGGGGTTGTGAAACTGAAAGTGGGTCGGGACAGTAGAGAAGCTGGCGGTTCTCCAAGCCATAAACCAACAGTTTTGGTATGGAACCCTTTGAGGGCACACCCGCGGCACCCTGCAGACTAAGCGTTGGTGTGGGAAAGGCGAGCCTTCATTTTTCAAGAGGTTTGACAACGACGTTGTTTTCTGCGCATTTGACTTCAAGATTC